ATGGTGGTCCGATGACTTTCACAATACAACAGTCTTCCCTATGCGGTATTCCTCCTTTGGCTTCCAGTAAGATCATATCACGAAATTCTTCCAGCCAACTTTTCCTTCTAAGTAGAGAGTCATGTTACTAAGGAATTCATCTTAACCCAGTTTTTGCTTATCAAAAATTACTTTTTAGCTCTAGTCACCATGTCCGGTCTACCTAAACCTTCAAATTTTAATTTCGTCTGATCTCTCATTATAATATTTTTGCACGTATTGAAATCCCGAAATTTTATTCTGATATTGATTTTTTATGTATTCTATACACTATTTAATGCTTCAATATTAATACTCATAATCCCGTTCCTATATTCTATGGGCTATCATCATAATTGATGCAGAATGGTTGTAATAATTACAACTCAACAAATTTTCTCTCGATCATTCATTTTGATATGTAAATGTAAATAAGAACCATTCACATCCTGTACATTTTCATTAAGGACGAGGTGTACCTCATCTGGCGGAGGCTATTCTCAGCCAGCTAGACTCGCGCAGCCTGCTTTCCGTGGAGCGGGTTTCTCGCGGTTGGCAATGGGCTGTCGCTCGTCATCAACTCTGGCGAAAGCTATTGCTCTACCGGCTAAAAACTGACCCCGTATGGCGCAGCTTAGCTGAACGTAGAGGTTGGTTGGAAGTTGTTCAATCGGCTGGAGCTGGTTGTGGAAATGGCGGCAGTTGTGGTGTTGAAAGGTCAGGATTCTGGGACAGTTGTGGTGATGTGTCTTGCTTGCCACTTGCCCTTGAGCGCCGCCGAGCAGCATTAGGCCTTCGACAACGCCTTGCCGACTTCCCATTGCTCTCGGAGCAGAGTCCTGGCACCACAGGAGCTTCAGGCGATTGTGGAGGGGGTAAGTCATTATCAGCCAACTTACCGTAAAAAAATTTGCATTACTTATTAGTTCGATATATGCCTTAATTAGTAATTAATTATATGTATTTTGAAACCTCTAGGATAATGTTCAAGAAGACAGTTCTTAGTCACTTCGCCTATTATACTTGAGCTGCACGAATACTATTAAGCTCTTAAAAATGAGTATTGTCCACTAAAATCGTGCTTCTAGCATCATTATTTCCTTTTTAAGCTCATTTTTGTGTCTAAAACTTCTTTATTCACTTTATTTATCATTTATACTGAAAAAGTTTTACATAATCTCTTAATTTATTTTGTTTTGCCTAACCTTTTGGCCATACTGCTATTGCTCTTTTGGAACTAGTTACCCGAACCACAATAATTTAATTCGTATGACTGCATAAAATAAATCTTCACCCATGGCCCTTATGCAGTCTCCTGACTAAACGTC